AAAAAAAAAATGAAAAAGTGTTCGAAATTAGATTGAGAAAGTGAACTACATATAGTAAAGCCTATCTAATGTAAACACTATTGGAACTTTTCAAAAGCATTCACTATAGGGAGGTGTTCACTTTAGAGAGGTGACGCACATTTTGCTGCGAAATGAAGAAAAAAAATCCAGAATGTCTACTGCTACACTAATCTTGAGTTACATAGAAGCTATTTACTCTCTTATTCATTTATTTTCATCTAAATGTTTTTTAGTTAAAAAATTTTAACTCAGCTATTTCTCGTGCTTTTTCTTGTAGAATTGATCCTGATAGTGGTATATTTTTGAACATTATTGTACAAACCATTCATATAGGTCTTCGTCGAGTTTTTGTGCATTCACATCCATTAATTTTCGTTTAACATTTTGATTTTGATTTATTTCATAATCATTTAAATATTCTATTTTACGTTTTAATACTTGACACAGAACTAAGTGAAATATTATATCTTGCAGCTGATTTACGTTGAGATAAACTATAATCATCCTTATTATCGTTAATTAATTCAATTTTCTATTGCAAAGTAGGATCATGTCGTTATGACACTTCTTTTTCATACGCACAGTAATTTAGTCTAATACACAAAGTATGATTTATCGTAGTGCATAAGAGACAAATGATAGACAGTAGATAGATAGAGAGAGAGAGAGAGAGAGAGAGAGAGAGAAATCATGTACGTATGTTCGCATTAGAGAGGTTATAGTAACCCCTGTTGCAAAAGTCTTGGCACAAATCTATTTCATTTGTTTTTTCCGAACTACAAGTTTCAGTGTTTTATTTTTTCTATGAAAGACAAGTACTAATTCTAATATTCAAAAAATCAGAAAGAACAAGCTCCATACATTCCTTTACCGGCAATTCGTCGAAGTTGCTTTCGTATATCCGAAAACATTGCTTGTAAAATTTGAATATCAAGTTCTTTTAATTTTTTCACAACTCTTCTCTTCAATTGATCGATGTTTTTTTGCTTCCCGACCACTACCATACACCATTTGTTCAAGAAGTGACCATAGTGTTTCAATGAGTTGAGCTTGAGAACAGTTCTGTAGATTATCCTGTTGTGATATAAAATGAATGTCATTTTCCTCCAAATATTTCGATACTTTGTGGCAGTAATGACTTCTAGCCAAATCAGGCCAAAACAAAACTTTCTCTTTACGATGATACTTTTCGATAAATGGCATTAAACGAGATTTGATACAATCATTTAAGTACGTCGTTTGAGTAACAGCTTGTTGTTACTTTGAGAAGAATGGTGTTGAGATACCATTTTCGGATATGACAATCCATACCAAAATTTTTGGTTCGAACTTTTGGGTACGTTTGAATTTAACTTCCGATAGCGCTGCAGTTGGGTCTGATGTATAAAACCTCGATTGGCGGATATGGATTCACTGTGCAAGGGAAAGTATTTTTCGTCATCCAAAACTATTTCAACATTACCACTAGACAATTTTCGGTATAATCGTCGTGCACGTGTTGAAATTTCTTCGAGTTGTTTGTCCGTGTATTTGAGTGCTCGTTTTTTCTTTCAATATGTGATACCCATTGCTTTCAATTGCTGACTGATTGTTGAAAAATTGACATCAAGTTTTGGAGCAATTTGATGCAACGAAATGCCAGTCTTCTGATCAATCAAGCGTTTTAATCGAGCTAATTGTCGTTTCGATAATTTCTTAGGACGACCAGTTTTGTGTCTGTCGACAATAATACTACATTCGTCGAACTTTTTTATGATATGATATATACTTCGTCGTGGAATTTGTTCTTGTACAAAATGATTTACAGTAATTTTTTTACAACGATTGGCAATGTGTACGTAGTACTGTACAATGCGTTTTGCTAAATGTTCTCTTTCTGAACGTGTCATTTTAGTTTAAAACAAAACTTAAACGGTTTCGTGAGCTACAAATTGAAGTTCTTCTAACGTTCTAGCACGTGGGAGAGAGATAGAAAAAACGATTGCACTGACACGAGATACGTATATAACAAATCTGTGCCAAGACTGTTAAAACAGGAGTTAGCTAGAGGAACTGGAAAAGAAGTGTTCATGTTCAGAATGAAGAGGTGTTCACAATAGAAGGGTGCAAATTCAGCAAAAATCGCTCCGTCGTATCTGAGAGTGTTCAGAATAAGGAGTTGTTCACTATAGAGAGATGTTCACTAATAGAGGTTTTACTGTAGCTTCATATGATTATGTTGACTGATACTGCACTACCATCTCTTGCAGTTTAGTGGGCTTATCGAATAAATAGAAAAACACGGATTATGAAAAGTTTTGATTGCAGGGATGTTCTGAGGATGTCAGAACTGGGAGAGGGTCGATGACTTAGGAGACTGATTAGAAGATTTTTGCTAAAGTTGACCAGGATTTTGAGGAGTGCCGGTATTAGTTATCGTCCATGCTCGTTCTTTCTTCTTGTTGTTCGTAGATTTATTTATGTTCGCGATTGCCTCTTTTTCTCATTAGTTACAATAATTCACTCTTCATAATACATATATTTTTCTCATTCATATTTGTCTTATTAACTCTTTCTTCGTCGTATATATCTGCACTTCACTGTTAATTCCTGCTTCACTGCTACCTTTAATCAACTACTGCTTCATATATTCACATTATTCTTGTTCGCGCTCTTCTCTTTATGTTGTTTGCCATCGGTGAATCTTCATTCACCTTCAATTCAATTTATTACGTGGAACCTATGATTGCATCCAGCTGCATTTCAGAAGTGTGGGCGTTTTATTTTTGGGAACTGATGAACTAAAAGAAAACTAGAGAGTATTACTCCTTTGGGAAAAACGGAAATTTTTCAAGACTATGAGGTCACTCTAGTTCCTACTCGGGACATCCGTGATGATGAAGTGCCTCTTTCTTTTGCCACTCTTATATGTCATGAATTATCTTTTTTGTGTTCTTTATTCGATAAACTTTTTTTATTCATACTATGGATTATTAAGATGATAATTCTCTTATTTATGTCTTCTTTTGAACATCTATTCTTTCGGAAATATATCCATGAAACCGTAATTATACATATATATTATCTTTAAATTGAACGATAATACATACTTGAGTAAAAAAAAGATTTCTATGCTTAATATTTTTCCTTTCGTCAAATTGTAATCGTTTATACTTTATTTTAATTTTGTGATTAGAATAATCTTCCATTGAGTTTTTTTTAACTATAATGTCATTTCAATCAACATATTATTATTATTATTATTATTACATGAAGTTCATGTTATTTTAGTCTGACAATTCATTATTGAACTGTTAAAATTTAACTTCTAAGAATTCATTAAGAATTTAATAAAATTACTTGAACAAGTTAGTCAATAACACTTGATCTGTTGCTAGTTTTGTTACAGTGCATTTTATAGCATATACTTCGATTGTCTTTATTCTCTTTTCTTTGATCATTCCTTTCTTCGTTTGATATTGTCGATATCATTATTTTGTTTCTATTATTTCTTTTCTTTGACCTTGATTAATATTTATATTCTTTTCTATTTTTGTTCGGGTTTTCATGCTCGTATATAAATACTCGTTTTTCAAAGAAACATGTACATCTTTAACTGTGTTCGTTGTTTCTTGTGAAAGTGAACCCTAACAATTATTTATGTCAAAAATAAACTATTCGGTGAAACTATTTTCAATATTTGAATAAATAAATGAAGAAAAACTCTGAATTGAATATAATAAATTTAAAGATATTATTTAAATAATTTCTATTGTTTTTCTTAGGTTTTATCATTTTGTGCATTTTTCTTCTAATATCTGTTTCATTTATATTATTGATGATTAGAAACATGATAACATTTAGCAAATGACCAAATATCAAAATTAATATTTATAATTTCATTGTACATCTATGACTTGCAACATATTTAATGATTAATAATGTTTCCTTTGTTTCATCTTCATTATGAATGTTTTTCACATCAAAAAACATGTCGATATCAAATTATCAAGATTCATATTACTTGTAAAGCTCGCATGATCTTTTTGTAGTTCGATGAAAGATAATATATAGATCATTCAATAATTGATATAAAATTCATTTAACGAAAAAATCCTCTAATACATATTGAATTTTATAGTAAGGTTTTATTCAATAAATAACTAGGCTTATATTTCAAGTCATTACATGATGAAATTTTTTTTTTTCTCAGCTTTCCTTATATAACATCTGTTACTTTAATAATCAGACTCAGTATAGAAATAAAAGGACGTCTACTTTTGACGAACGGATGAAGAGTAATCTAGTGCATTAAACAGTAGAACGCAAAATTGAAAGAAATCTACAACATGACTTAAATCTAAACAAATA